TATTAAGGCGTGGCATATTGGAGTTATCTTAGAGTTGCTTAAAGAGAGAAAGGAATAATGTAAAATTTTATAATTATATGTATAGTAAACTGTATATATACCGTATAGCTGTTAAAGTACTGTATAATAAGCAAGGCTATATATAAACTATAGGTAATAATAATTCTTTAATGTAAAGGATAGGATGATTTTCTGCTATAAAATAGCATTAAACCTTTTAAATATAGAGATAAGCTGATAATAATGGTTACTTATAGACTATACTAGTATATATAAGAAGACTAATAACAGCCTAGTTACCCTGGCTGCGTCCGCTAAAAATAACATATAGTTACTAAGCAAATGGGCGTAAATAACAAGAATTGATTCTATTTAATACTGTACTGTATAGTGTAGTACCTTAAAGCATCTCTTTTTACTATTTAATATTGCATATATGCCCTACGATAAGCTTTTCCGATATTGAGATATCCTCTACTTACGGATAACTTAGTAATCAAAAAGGCCAATATAACTTCCCCGCTAATACTATACTGTTAATAGCTACTAGACTTCCTATTATACTATTAGAAGTTTAATTACTTGCAGGTTCTAATTAATTTACTTAACCTTGGCTAGTTAATATAGAAAGATTTCTTAGTATTCTAAAGGGCTTTATAGCATAGTATTAGTATAATATAATACTTTAAGTCAGATATATACTAGCCCTTACTGCCTCTAGGTAGATTGTGTTTTCTTGGACTTGTGGCAGCAGTAGACTCTACGTGTACAACGCTGAACATCAGCACCCTATGTATACCTTCCCCTTAGAGTGTTGCCTAGGTTTAGTTACTATACAGTACATTGTAAGGCATTTGCTATACAGTGTATTGTATTATTAGTAGGGCAAGTATATGTCCCTTATCGATTACTAGGTTAGCCATTAGTAAAGTACACCTTAATGCCAGAAAGGGTTCCTTGCCATATAGTGCAGTGCATATAAGCTTACTTAAAGAGTGGTTACAGTTATATAATTAGTTATCAGTATCTATACTTATATCCCTTGGTGGCTTAATCTTGTTTTTAGTAGGCAGGCTTAGGGTAAATAAACTGTTATTTCCTATTATATAATGTATTATAGCTAGAAAAAGCTTTGACTTACTGAGACCCTAAATAGCACTTAAACTACCTTGATTTCTAGTTATAAGATAAAAGAGACTAATACTATATAGCACTATAGCCTACTAACTAATTAATCTATTTTACTTATAAAGCTTTACTCTGTGTTCTATTAGTATATAACTTTTAAAATAGTTAAGGCTTTTTAGAAAGTTGCCTTTATATTTATAGGCAGGATGGTAGTAGATCTATGTAGGACGGTGAGGTTGGCGCTGTAGATAGACTCTTTTAGTATAATCTATTATATAAGAGACTCTTATAAACTTACAGGTCTAAGCCTTATAGAAAAGAGCCTTATCCCTAATATAAAATAGGCATTAATTCTATTCTAAAACTCGGGGGATTGCCTCTTTTTTCTTAATCAGTAGAGAAATATCTTTTACCTTCCCTTGGAGATTAGTATTACCCTATGCGCTAACTTGTATAGATTATGTTAAGCAAGCTACCTCCTGGCAATATACTAGAGAGGCTATGAGATTAATTACAGTAACTTTCTAGGTAATAATCTTCTCTACTATTAGTTATTAATTAGTAGTAAAGATTTCCTGTAACTAATTTTGCTCTTTTAATTAGTACTGATTTTATAGCCTAGTAATATTATTAACATAAGAGCTAGCTCTATGTAATTGCCTCTTTAATTCTCTATTATAAAGTTTTTAGCAATATACATCTTAGTATATCTTTAATATCTTATCCCTAAATTGCTTCTTGGCGCTCTTAAGCTTTTACTATAGCCTTTTAAACTTTACTTAGTCTGGTGCTAGAGTGTATTTAATATACCTGTATTTAAACTTAATGTTCTAGTAATTTGCCTTAACTAGCTACTTTAATTTACAAATCTCTAGACTAGGGTTTAATATATTAAGCTGTTCTTATGGTATTCTCTTTAGGATTCTAGGGTCTTTTCTAATATTTATATACGTAAATAGTTCTATTAGTTTATTATCTAAAGGCTCCTTTTTAAGATAAGCTATTTAAGTATTTTAACCTACTTATATATTTAAATATATATTCTAGCAGTAGCCTATTATAGGATTATGCCTTATAACCTAATCTATAATAGTATTAAGAGCTATATACGTAAGCATATCTACTAGCCCTTATTAAAAGCAGTAGGAGGTTAAAGGGTCTTTATAGCTAAGGGCAATGCTAATGCGGTTGAGCTAATATGTATATATTAAGTAGCATATAGCTTTAATGTTAGACAGAACCTAGGTCCTAGAACTACTTCTTACCTTTCTCTAGAAGACAGGGATCTTAAGTATATATAGCTTTTAGTAGACCTTAATAGCCTGGCAGGATAGCTTTGTATTAAAAAACAGTTTAGCTAAACTATACCTATTTACTAGGATAGTATTATTATATATTGCCCTTGCCAAGACGTAACTAATTAGGTATAGTATAGAGAGTCTATACTCTTAGACTAGAAATATTATTCTATTTAAGGGCAGGTTAGTATTTATTACTATAAAGAGCCTGATTTATAGTTTCTGTATGGCTTAGGCTTCCTATCTATATTCTTATAAAACTTAAGGGCAACCTCTATAGCTAGCACGTCCCTGCGGCCGCCTTTAGGGTCTTTTATAATTTACAGCGTTAAGTCCTTATAGTATAGTGCTTTGGTAAGCCAGACGGGGTTATCCTCTGTCTTAACGTTCGGTGTAGCGGTAGGGTGTTGCCGTTAGCTGCCTTTATCTGGCGTTTCTCCTTTTTCTTCTTTTTCTTCTTCTCCCTTGCTAATCTTAGTGGTGTCTGTTTTGTAGCCTGCAAGGTTACCCTCCGATATAAGCTTGCTATTACTGCAATTAAACTTCTATAAGGGATTCCTGCTACCTTATTTCTTAGTAACGTCAGTAAGCTTAGCTAGCTAGTAACCTATATAGCCTTACAGCAGGATAATTATTACGCAGTTTAGATAATTATCTTTAGTTTGGAAATAGGATATTTCCCTAAACTATATCTTAATAAGTACTTTTATTATTTCTTTAATAAACACTATAGGCTTTAAGCCTGGCTAGTTATTAAGCTTAAACTCTGTTTTTAGATTAACTATATAGTATTACTAAACCTTATTATTAGCCTCTTTCCGGATAAAGGTAAACCCTTATATATACAAACCTTAATAATCTTTTTACAGTTATTCTTGTTTATTTCCTGTCCTTTATTAGCTCTACAGTATAGTATCTTAAAGTTACACTAGTATTAATTAATAGTTTTATACTTAATATTTCTTTACCTTCTGCTAAAAAAGCTAGAGTATATTTAGTAAAGAAAGGCTTAGATAAATCCTTTATTATAGAGGTAAGGGCAAATAGTTGTTTACTACTACTACTTTTTGACCTTAAGATAATATCTAACTAAGCTATAATAAGTAAGATAAGTAGTAGGAAACCTTATGCCTGCTGCAAGGGCCGCTTAGTGCAGACTGATTACTTACCTCTTAAATTTCTATCTTATATAGTATAGGTTGGCTTTTATATTATAAGAGTTTAAGGGGAGGATGAATTTTATCTGGTTAAGTATATATACTATCTGCTTATACTTGCCTAGACTTAGCCTTTATTAGCAGTTATCCTTTAAGATCCAGGAGCGCCTATAATACTTCCTTACAGTATTATACATAGCTCTTAAGACGTCCTAATAAACCCGCTTGCTACCTGTAAAGGCGGTTATGGTTACTATAGCTACCATAGCCGGCATAGGCTTAGGTCTAAGAGGCAGTAGAACTCTTAACCTGCGACGCAAGCTTGGATAGATTAAAAGGCCTCTTGGGAGTTTCCGGGTACTGCAAGTCGCCGATGGAGGTAGCGGTAGGAGGGGAGGCGGCCTTGGGATTGAGGAGGGGGTGCAGGATGTTGGTGTTATTAGCGATCTGGGGAAGAGCGTACTTATGGTTGGCATGTAGGCGGTTGGGCACGATGGGGGGTAATTATCTCTGAGGTGGCGCTGACGATGACGATGGTCTGCCTGATACGGTATCCCTGCCAGGACGGGGTGCTTACTTGACTTGCAGGCGGCGTTGTGGCCCTAGCCGGCAGCTCCCCTGTCGCTGACGGAGTGCGGCCGCCTGTTCACACAGCGGGGCGGCCGCGGCCCTTACCACCAGAGGCGGCGGCACACTACGCCGGATCTGGCGGTCAATACCGCAACACCTAGACTTTAGCTATTATATATAAAGTATTTACAGATTAATATTATATAATACTATATTTACATTTTTTACTAAAAAGCAATGCTTCTTATAGTTAGACAATAGGCATAAGCTTTTTTAAGAATATTTATACTTTACTTGCCGTGACCTTGTAAGAACTTAACTACAGCTCGCTAAACCCCGCTACTTTGTCATAAATCAGGTGGCGATACAGTCAGCATTCCGTTAGTGTGAAGCATTGCAGTTAATTAAGGATTGTTTATAACGTTTTATTGGTCATATCCCAGAATTCCTACAGCCTCATTTCCATTCCAGCCAATCAATCACGGCCTTGTACAGAAAGTATTCTTAGCGACTGCACAAGCTAAAGGCACGCAATGGTTGCCCGTTACAGGTCCTGGTGAGGTATTAAAATGAGGGGTGAGGTATTAAAATAAGGGATGAGGTATTAAAATGAGGGGTACATTATGGTTGTTTTGAGCGGGGTCAGGGCTGCACTCTATTATTAGACTTGATTGCAAGGCAAGGCAGCCGACAATCAGATCATGGCACCCCGTTTACATGCTGGCCGTGAGAGTATATAAATAGACAATGATTATCCGTACTCTACCCCAAATGATTGAAAGACATTCCATGCTTAAAGCCTGTTTCTATTACCAAGCTTCTGACTTAAAATTGTATCCTAGTCACCATGAGCAACCCATCACCAGATCTAGTAATTGGTATCGACTTCGGAACAACAGGTCTGCAGAAAAGGCTTGCTTACCAGAGAGTATTATACTCATTGTTTCACAGGGACAGCTGTAGCATACGCCAACCCTACAGAGAACAAGGTTTACCATGTTAAAAACTGGCCTGAAGGTGAGTAACTGGCCTGATTACACGCTTTGCTGACCTGCGCGGTAGGTTTCAAGAATTACGACAAAGTCCCATCGATGGTGGCTTTTGAAGGCCGCAATCTGGCGGCGTGGGGCTTTGGCGTCCTGAATCTGGAGCTCGAGTCCATCACCAACCTCAATTCTTACAAGCTATTCAAGCCACTATTCAACAGCCCGAATCGCCCTGATGCTACTGAGGCGAAGCGATGTGTTTGCACATTTCTTGAGGCTCTACACAAACACCTCCAGCAAGAATTGAAAGGCATGTTGCCTGAGCAAACTTGGGATGAGTCCAAGGTCAAATTTCTCTTTAGCTACCCGACAACCTGGGATCAAGAGACAAAAGAACGATTTTCTACCGCCATTGAAGAGGCTGGGTACAAGAAATGGGGCGACCAAGCCAGCCTGTTGTCTCTAGACGAGGCGGAAGCATCCATGCTGCATTATCTCAACAGCGCCTCTGAGTATACGCTGCCCAAGCGTGAGGATTACATTATGGTAGCTGATATTGGTGGCGGAACATCGGATGTGTCGATCAACAAAGTAGTCGATCTTACCGGCCGCGAAGCGAAGCTATTGCCGATGGTGTGTGATGAGGGCAAGTACATTGGGTCCACACAGATAGACGACCAGTTCAAAGACAAGCTGCGACTGAGACTCATGGATCCCTACCGGGAGCGTCTGCGAGACAAAGTGGATGTACAGCAGCTAGACGCTGTTGTGGATTCCTATTTAGATGCGGCAGTGCTTCACCTTGAACAGAGCCCCGTCTATGTGCAACAGAAGCACACCTACGGACAGAAAGCAGTTGGAGGCAAGATTCAGAAGCCTGAATTTCAACTCCTATTGCCGGATCCATCTACGATAAAAGAAGGAGTCACAGGGTCAGCTCAGGATGTACGTCGCGGCGAGAGTATACATAAGGGAGAGTTCTTCGAAAATGCTTTCAGCGAACAGTGCTCCAAGATATGGAACCAATGCAAGTTGCAGATGGAGGAGTTCGAAAAGATGGACAAGGTAGATTCTGGGCAGATGGTCAAGTACGTTGTTCTAGCAGGGGGTTTGGGCAGCTCCGCATATATAATGGCAAAGCTGTCACAGGAGTTCGCTGTATACGCTAAATCCCACAAAGCCAACCCACCTACCGTCATTCAAATCCGCGACGCCGAGATAGCCGTCTGCCAAGGCTTAGTTCATGATGAGTTGCGGCAGCTGCACGGAAATCCAGTTTGGGTGTATCCAGCTGTTGCGTCATACGGTATTGAGAAAGCGGGAAACAAAAACGATATTAAGTGGTTTTTAAGGTATGGAGATGAGCTCAAAGTCCCACATGGAATCACTATTGAGCGTCATGTGGACATTGCAAAACTTAAAGCTCTCGACCTGCAACTTGTCAAGGTCACCAACCCGCCTCCAACAGGCTTGATTATTAAAAGTGCAGATAAAGAAGCATGGAATCAGCGTGCGGTTCCTGTCAGGGATATCAGCAAGTGGGTAAAGGTAATGTTAACAGGCGCCATACATACTTCTTACCATAAACTGACTTCTGACAGGACCTTCTGCCAAGCGACCTGAAGGGCAGACATCGTTTCTCAAAAAAAGCTACGTTAGTGATTAAAGCTGAGCTATCACGCGAGCTGATCACAATGACTCTTGAATATGATAAGCAACAGTTAAGCGAGAAGATTTTTGTCCTGGAGAGCTGGCACAAGGATCCCAAAGTGGGTAAGAAAGGAAAGACAGCCCCAAGGTCTAAGGCATGGAAATTCAATATGTCAACCTCGGACAAGATCGCTGCTGGTACTCTTGGGCTTGGCATCATCAGCGGGATTCTACTCGCAGTGAACCAGTTTAGGAAGAAGCCTGAGCCTACACCTGTTCAAGTAACAGTTGATGATCAGAAGTCTGACAAGAAGGATGGACAAGACGCCGATAAAAACGTGGAAAGTGAGAATGGTATAAGTAACTCTTCCATTGCTAATGATGGAGGTGGGGTGAGTGGTACCGTAAACTAAATCTGAAGTACTTTACTTTTCTTACATATCCCCATAGCCTATCCTCCCTCTAGAGCACATTGAAGACATAAGGGTTTTGCTTGTCTGTAAGATCACGAAAATGACAATCATCCTCATTTAGAAGATATCTGCTTTCCTCCAGGAATGCCTTTCTTTTACGGTTCTCGAAGTGCATATACACGATATGTAAGACACCAGCAAACCAGCTGATAGCCAAAGCGACAATGTTAGCCCTTAGGCCTTGCTTGTAGGGGGGAGTCGTGTATAGCTGAGGTCCAATGATGCCTAAAGTGAATTAACCAAGAGAACTGCAGCTAGGTTAGGGACCAAAACTGCTACATACATCCGCAACAATAACAGGTAAACATGATGGCTTGAGCTGTCACACTCTTGGTGTGGCCGGCGACATTTCCGGAGATAGTACCCATTCCCAGCAAGAAGCTACATGGGATAAAAGCCATCATGGCCCAGAATCTAAGTCCATTATTAGTTGATACAACAACTAAAGCATTGGGGCCGGGGGCTCTTGGCAACGCAACATACCCAGCCATCAATCGCCAGCGCTGGTGCACGTCGAACGCATACGGCATGGAAGCACCGATAATGGCCAAAGCGTTGGCCAGACTGGCAAGTGCCAGCCTCGAGTTTCGGATGCGCGATGCGAGAGTACAAAATACTATAAGACCTATGATCTCGATGACACCGGTAGGGACCTGCAGAAGGGCGGTTTGTAAGGGTGTGAAGCCGAAACCTCTGATGACGAGGCTTTGGAACTAGGTAAAGGTCGATGTTAGTCTACACTCATAATGCGGACTAGAACGAAGTTGAGGGAACGTACCAGACCGATGCCGTTGAGAATGTTTCCTGCCCCTGTGGAAAGGCCAGCAAGCCAGACCTTGTGATCTAGAAGAGCTTCAATAGCCTGATCCATTTTGAACTTCTTCGACTCCACGCCGGTCTTGGCGTCTTCCATTCACCGAAGGGCGATAATGCGCTCGCGTTCATTGAGAAACCAGGCGCTAGCGGGATTAGAAGGCAAGGCAAACCATAGAATCACAGCCCATACAACTGAGATGGCTCCGCAGATAATGAAAGAAAACCTCCAGAGCCCAATGTTGGAGTTTATGTGACCTATACCATATGCAAACAAAGACCCGACGATGATGGCAATGGGGCTCATTCCGTACCATGCCATCAGACGGATAGGCTGTTCCTCGCGTGTGTACCACATGTTGGTGATAATGAAGAAGGCTGCAAGCTGAATGGATTCGGCAGCACCGAGCAAGAAGCGCAGTGCAGCAAACCCTCCGAAGTTGGACGAGGCAGCCATTAGGAACGTGAGAACGCCCTATCCCAACACCTGGGAAGCAAAGTATTTGCCAAGAGAAAATCTCTGGAGAAGCAGAAGTGAAGGGTACTGCCAGAACAAGAAGCCAAAGTAGAAGATGGAGCTGGCCCAGGAATAGTTAGTTCCCTGCATGTTGAGGCTCTCCCTCAAACCGTAATTGGCAGAGTAGTTGATCGTAGACTTGTCGAGATACTGTAGGAACCCGGTAACCATCATCATCCCGTGGGGTTGCAGCGACTGCCGAGATTCGGTGAGTCAGATAAGATGGTAGCACTTACGGAAGAAGATAGAGGTCGATCTTTCTGCGAACGCGATTTTTCTCCGTCTCGGAAACCCTTCATCCCTGGTTTGCAAATAGTACTGACGACCAATGTCATCTGAAGGATCAGCGTCTTTGAGATCCATGCAAGATATCAGCTAATCTCATATGCACCCCATTTGTAGCTTTAATACCTTTGACAGCAACACCGGATAGTTCGCCGTCAACTTCGGTAGGTGGAGTCGAAGCTGCCACTATCTCCGCCAACTGCTTTTCCTGGGCTAATTTTGCTGCCATTTCTTGAATTGCGATTGAATCCTGAAGATGTAAATTAAAGAGTTGAAATGAGCTATTGTCTCGATGGCAGGAATAGTTCATGTCTGAGAAATATGTCTCATGACGAGAGTCTTTATAGACACGACTCTGACAACAAGCCACTATCTTCTAACCCCTTCAGAATTGCGCAATCTGTCGACCAACGCTCCCATCATCGCAGAGGTTTCGATCTTAACTTTCAAGGTTGAGCAGAGTGGATGCGTTAACATGAGATGGGCAACGGCCAGGTTCTACTCGTGGACTGCAAACGCTACAGGCTGTTACGCCTTTTCTATTGACCATCACACAATTCACTCCGTCCGACCTCGGTGGTCTTGTCGTCGCACAGTCCTTCCAGCCATGTATCACCGACCCGAGAGGCACCAGGGTTGTTCACTAATCCCCATCCCAAAGCCGGCGCATAGCGCCTGAGAAATTATGTCACGCAGCCCGACCGTGCTAGTTTTATTTACTAATCATTTCTCTACACTAATCAAGATAGAGCGAATTTTTAACCGAGACCGATAGTTGGACGAGGTATTCATGTCTTGGTTAATTCGAATTTCGCTATTTAGGCCTATTTGTCATTTAAGGCTATATAGTGCAATTATAGCAGTAATACCTCACTGTATGTCGGACTGGTTCTTTACAGGTACAATCGCTCGATTACCAATCTGGGATTCTTAAGACATACGTTGTAGTTAGAAACGAAGAGTAGGTAAAAAGGTATATAATATACCAGGATGTAACTACTTTTTCTTATTTATCGTAAAATAGGGCTTTACTTCTCTTGTAAATAGAAGCCATTATAACTATTAAGTATTAATTATCTTAGCTTTTACATAATAGGAATAAGGTTATAAGTAGTTTAAAGAGGCTTTAGCCTCTAGTATATAAAGGTAAAGAATACTAATAAATACATATAAGTAAGATACTTATTACCCTTATTATTACCTAGAATTTTAGTTTTAGCTAAAAAGTTAATATCTTAATAACTAACTCTAGAGATATATAAATAAGTATTATTACTTTTTTATAAAAATAAATTAAAGTTAAAGTATATAAAGTATATATAAAGTAAAATATTTAATATAAGTAAGGTTATTAACTTAAGTTAATACTCTTAAGATAACTTTTACTATAACTATTATATATTTAATTAGAATTTTATAGCTTTTAATAGCTAGTATAAATATAATAGCCTCTATACTTATTAACTTTTACTAACTTAACTATTAGGTTTATAAAAAGCTTAGTAAGAACTATAACTTTATAAGCCTTTATAAAGTTATTAAAGTAAATAGTATAAAAAATATAGTTTTTATAGATTTTATTTACTTTAGCTATAGTGCTTATATATATATATTACCTTATCTTAATTCCTAGAAGGACCTTATATATAAAAGAAAAAAGGAATTACTAAATAATATTAATAAGATAATTAGGATTATAAAGGCATATCTAGCCTAGATATACTATATATTACTTTTTTAAAAAAGAGTAAATTATAAAAATCCGGTATAAAGATAAGTTAATTAGTAAGATAAAGGAAAAGGTTAGACAGGCTAGTAGTACTAGGCGGAAAAGCTTATTAGAGATTTAGTTATATTCAGGACTAGGTTTTCAGTTAAATAAAGCTTCTGCATTGAGCCACAAAGGTCTTGAATACAAAGGGCTTTTGCGTAACAATGGCACCTGCAGATGACCTCGTTGCCCTTGTCGCCAAGGCGAACGCCCGCGGTCCAATCACTGGCTTTACAGATGTCGATGACGTTGCCGAACCGCTTCCCGCTAACTTCGACACCGAGAATGCCAAAGTGTTTACCCCACTGAAGGTCGGCGACCTGACACTGCAGCACCGAGTGGTTCACGCGGCTCTGGGACGATCTCGCGCTGCCCATTCCACCGAAAGCCCGTTGGCTATCAAGTACTTCGAGCAGCGCACCACTGCAGGAGCACTCATGATCTCTCAAGCCACTGGTGTCTCGCTCAAATCCAAAGCCTGGCCTTGGTCGGCAACTCTTGAGACAGACGAGCATAAGGATGCCATTGCTGATATCGTTCAAGCGGTTCACAAAAAAGGTGGATTCTGGTTCCAACAGCTCACACACGTAGGTCGCTGCACTTCGCCAGGCCTTGTCAAGCACGCCCATAAGAAGGCTGGTTTGGGACCCCCTTCTTACGGCTACCTTCCGGTATCTTCTTCGGCTGTGGCTGAGACCGGGGTGAATACTCATTCCGGAGAACCATTTGGGGTCCCACATGCGTTGACATTGGAGGAGGTCCAGGGAATTGTGGCTGACTTCAAGCGCGCTGCCGCCCTTGCAGTTGAAGCTGGAGCCGATGGAGTCGAGGTATATGACAAACCCCCCTACCCATTGATGACGTATAGTAACATCGAGGCTTGCTAACGGTGCTCGCTAGATTCTTTCCTCTTGGACCAGTTCTTGCACAACAATATCAACCAACGCGATGACCAATATGGAGGATCCGTCGAGAACAGGAGTCGCTTTCCTCTGGAAGTGGTCGATTCTGTCGCAGAAGTAGTAGGTTATCAGCGTCTGGGAGTCAGAGTGAGCCCCTTCTCTAAGTGCGTTTGCCCTATGATCCCTGTCCTCGTTGTTAGCTAGATGTGTTATTTACAGTTGCGGCTCGTGGCTGAGAGCTTAAATAAGCAGACAGAACTTAGATCCCTGTCCTCACCCTTCCTCGGCTAATCTATGGCGACCAGCTTCCATGAAACGGACGGTTCACATCCCCTGGAGCAGTTACTCCATCTAGGTCGGGAGCTCGCTTTGCGGGGTGTAGCATACTTGCATGTCGGCGAGGGCCGTGTATCGCGCAACCTAGGCATTGCTGAGAACCTCGCACGTCTCGTGGCCAAAGGAATTGCCCCAGAGGATGTCTCTCTTCGACCGTTCCGTCGTCTTCTGAGGGACACCACTCCTTCGAACCCACATCATACACCTACTGTACTCATCGACAACGGAGGCTACACTGCTGCGTCTGGCATTCTAACAGTGCAAGACGACCTGGCCGACGCTATCTCATACGGCCGGCGCTTCATTTCGAACCCCGACCTTGTCCAACGTCTTCGTCTAGGACAACCACTCAGTCCGTACGATCGGGACACTTTCTACACCCATGGCGCGGAAGAAAACACCTCATACAGTAATTTTGAAGCAAACAAGAGCAATGCATCTCAGCCTCCTATCAGTGGTAAGCCTACTACAGAGGAAACCCGAGCAGCCGGAATAGATGGCAACAACAGCAAGGCAAGCAGCGGCAAGGAGAAATCTGCCAAGCGGGTTGCTATTATCGGTGCTGGGATTCGTGGTAGCGTCACGGCGGCTGCTTTCAAACGGCTCGAAGGCTTCGAACTCCAGATACTCGAGCGTAAGAAGGTCCCTGGCGGCGTCTGAGTTTACGATACTGTATCCACAACTGTTCCCCAGTTTCCAGCTGCAGATCCTTCAGACATCAATCCACCTCTACCACGCCCTAAGGGCCCCTTTCCGCTAGATCTGCCGCGATCGACCCGTCAGCGCTTCCTCTCATCTCCCATTTATGAGTTGCTTGAAGCCAACATCCCTTACAAGGTGATGGGAGGCGCTACAGACTTCAACCTTCCACACCCGGCAAATAATGACCACTACCTGAGCGTCTCTGAAGTCACAGAATTTGTCGCCAAGGCTACTCAAAGTACAGCCCCATTACGCGGTTCATCACAACGGTTGAAGATGTCCAGCATATTCCTCAAGGTAGCGTGAGGCTGCTCTTACGTCAGGAGAATGCTGAAGGAACAGACACTTGGTATGAAGAGGACTTTGATCATCTCGTCGTTGCCACGGGCCACAACAACGAACCCTGAGTACCTGAGATCCCCGGCCTCGAGGTCTGGAAAGGAGGCCGGCAACATGCGTCCACATGGCGATCGGGGAAGGAATTCGAGGACAAGAGCATCCTTGTGATCGCTACCAGCGAGAGCTCCATCGATATCGTTCTTCAATCTTTGTCTTATGTCAAGGGCGATATTCATGTGTCCCAGAGAACACCTCACCCACGTTATCCCAACGTGTTCAATCGGCCTGGCGTCAAGCTCGTGACCACAATTGACCATTTCACCGAAGACGCTGTTCATCTACACGACGGGTCTGTCTTACGAGGCATCGACGTGTCTTTGCAACGGGATACTTCTACACCTACCCCTTCCTCTCCAATGTCCGCCCGCCCGTAGGTCCTAGTGGCCATCGCGTGCCTGGCCTGTATCAGCACATTTTCGACATGCACAACCCCAACACCATCGCCTTTGTCGGTGTAGTCAACGCGTCTTTGACGTGGCTGACGTGGGAGAAGTCTGCCTTCTTGGTCGCCCTTTATTGGTCTGGAAAGATTCAACTCCCGAGTAGAGAAGCTCAAGAGACTTGGGAGGTAGACAGACTCGCTGAGAAAGGGAAGCATTTGTTCCATGTCCTAGAATTACCCTATGAGCGAGTCCTATTATTCGATAAACTAAACGAACTAGCTGCTGAGTACCTACAGCAGGAGTCTGCTGATGATACACTTCTGCGGGGATTCCCATGCGAATTCATCCTGGCTTTGATTGCCGGTCGACCAGCCAAGGTGAGGAAGTATGGTTTGTCAGAGGATGTTGGTGGCCGAGGCACTATTGTCACTGCGATTCCAGAGACTATTAGGGAGGCAAAAGCCCCCAGGGTTACTGATAGAGTGGCTACGGTAACGGTAAACGAGATTGGCCATTCTGTCATTGGTAACACAGCGATTAGGGCACTAGCAGCTATACAGTGATGTTGCGGGTCACGCTAAATATTGTTCAGAAGGGTAAATTGATCTATAAGAGGAAGTTCTAAATTTAATAACTACGAAGAAAGCAAAAGCCTAACCGCTGTTGTTACAGTTTGTGCAGTAGTCCATGACAACACTGCATGAGTTGGACAGGCGTATATGTCCACAAATCCAAATACCATCGTTCTGCTTCGCGTTCTCGCGAGCTGCAATGATATCACTACCCTTCATTCCAATACCATAGTCATCACACTGAAACTTGGCAATACAAGCAGCTTGACCAAACGAGGCAGCCATCAGGATACCCTTGTTAGACCGACTATAACGCGTCGTGTAACCCGTGTACACGGTATCGGCGTCGAACTCATTGATAGCCCTATCACAGGCCTCACCCAAACCCTTCTTCGACAGGCTATCAGATGTTCCGCACTGGCCGCTGCCGTCATTGTCAACAGCAGTTTGAGTAGGTACAGGCGTGGAAACAGTTGATGGTACGCCATAACCACGTGTCGCTGTGACATGAACAGTATAAGCCATGAAGTAGTCAAGAGTGTAAGCTGTGTATACCAAGACGGTGCCGTCGTTGGTCTCAGTGAATGGAGTTTGTACCGGGGCTTGGGTAGCTGGGGCTTCGGTGACGGGGACAACTGGGGAAGGGTATGAAGTGTAGTCCACGCAACTGTTATCTATCAGAGAGGCAGATGTGACGTATTGCTTGCCAGAGACTGTGGTGCTGCATTGACAGTATGGCGTGGCGACGCGAGGTCCGCCGAAGATGTTGCAGGGGTAATAGGTGCGGACGTCCTCACTAGTTGTTGCTGCATCAGATGTAACCGCAGATGTGATGGCATTGGATGAGGGCCTGGTAGTGGTGATAAAGGTGCTTGGAGTAGAGGTTGTCAAGACAGCGTCAGGTTGAGTTATTGTGGCCTCGACAGTCTTGTCCTCGCTGGTGGTTGTTCCTACAGCCTCGGTAGTCTTCTCGTCGGTAGTGGTTAGGTTCTCTTCAGCAGTGGTTGTCTCAACACCCTCAGAAGTCCTAACCTCTGTGGTAGGGACAGCTGAAGTCTCGGCAGCGGAAGTGGCATCAGCTGTTATAGCAGCATTGTCTGTAGAGGAGGGTCCAGCCGAGGTCGTACCAGTGGAACCACCACGGATCAAGCACTTGCTGGCAGCCTCCTCGTCGGCACGCTTTCGCAGACCGGCAGCAGGTGTAGCAGCGGGTGTAGTTTCAGGGACGGCAATAGGATCAGGGAAGACGAGAAACTTGTGCGAAGTGACCAGCTGGTCCTCGACCCAAAGCCTCCACCGGCCCATAAAATCACCCGTCATGGCGCCATCGTTGCCAAAGACGATCTCTTCAAGCATATCATACTCAACGATAGCGCGACCCCACGTTCCGTACTGCTCCTTGGATTCTACTTCACCAACTCGTGTGTAACCGAGAACGGTTGAGTCAGATCCGGGGACAATACCAGAGACTGCAGTCGCTAAGTAGTTTGCACGAGCCTCGTAGCGCAAATTAGTGGTGACACCAATGCTACGATCATAGTCGGTGGTGAAGGGAGTGACGACGAAAACCCTGGGATGAAATATGGAATGCAAGACACCAGGGGCTTGGTCTGTACCGACATAACCAGCAATACTTTCAGCGTTGGCATCGATAGTGCCGTCACGAAGGGCATTGAAGGTATTGGCCTGGAACTGGTCGTCGGGCGTAGGAGTTCCGAAGCTATCGATAAAGACAGGATTCTCCCAGATATGAGACACATAGACACCCAGGTTAGACACGACAATGACGGAGGTACAGCCATAGATGCCGTTGACTCCTGCAGAGCCTTTACCAGCAAAAGAGGGAGCACCAAACCAATGTCCAGCTGTGGCTCCAGTCTGATCCACCCAAAAGGGCGTGAGGGAGGCAACATAGAAAGGATTAGGAGACATGTCATCGTTGAATGCTCGAGCTCCTAGCTCCATATCACGCTTGGAAGGTGGGGATGCAGACTCGGCACGGGCAGTAGGAGCAGTAAAGGGATCGTCACCGAAGTCAATGGTCTGTGAGGGGTCTGTAGGGAGGGGTCCGTCAATGGTAGTTGTTGAGAGGTCATTGCAGTTGACTTCGCCAGCCGCGCCGCCCATTTGCCCTCCTCTCGACCCTCCAGATCCTATAGGACAAGAACCGCCACCGCTACCACCACCGCAAGTATCGGCACCACAAGGTGGTTGAATGCCAGTAGTCGTTGTGGTAGCTTCAGTGGTCGTGGACTCCTCCGTTGAAGTGGGGGCTTCGGTGGTTGTAGGAGCCTCTGTAGTGGACTCCTTCTTGGTCGTCTCCTCTTGCTTGGTAGACTCTTCTTTACTCTGCTCCTCCTTGCTCTGGTTATCCTCATCCTCCTCAGTCAGGTCATCATTCTGGCTCTGTACTTGAGGAACAACACTGGTGACAGCAGGCACATTACCAGCAATGATGCTGCCCGAGATGTTGGTAAGGTCTTGAGCCATGCAAGCGAGCTTGTTGATGATGTCACCAATAGGTCCAAGCAGGCCTCGCTTCTTGTTGCAGCCCACATCGGGCTTGCCGCCCAGAGACACGATAACAGCGATGATGTCGTCGTGTGTGTCCTCGACCTCCTTGTTAGTCTCATCTGTGAGAGACTCAGGGTCTTCAGTCCATTTGTTGATGATGGGGATCAGAGCGGCGACCTGAGAGGAGACGGAGGAGACGCTAGATGTGGCCACTTCAGGAGCGACGGTTGTCTGGGCTGGGGGCTGGGTGATGACAGGCTCATCGTCATCCTTACTGGTGGGCTTGGACTCTTCAGTGGTAGGCTCAGGGTGCTGGTGCTGAGTGGTGGTCTGAGCAGGCTGCTCAGCAGCCGTTGTTGTAGTGTCCTGTACAGGCACCTGCGCAGTGGTAGTCTCAGCAGGTGGAACACCAGTGGTGGTAGTGTCAATGACTGGCTGTTGTTGAGTTGTGGTGTCTGGAAGAGGGTTGTTGGTGTCGGTGGTAACGCCGGGAACGGCGTCTGATGTTGTTGTAGGCACAACAGGCACCTGCACATCCGTGGTGGTGTCCTGACCAACTGGGTCTTGTGAGGAACCAGGAGTCTGGATGATAGGCTGGTTGGTGGTATCCACTACGGGAAGCCAAGTGGTGGTAGGGTCAACCGGAGGCGGCAGCTCCGTTGTTGTGTCCTGGACAGGAGGTACTTGCTGTGAGGTTGTGTCGACGATTGGCAGTCCAGTAGTTGGGTCTTGAACAATGGGCTCAGTTGTACTTTCTTGAGCAATGGGCTGGGTGGTGTCAATGACAGGCGCAGGACCTGTCGTTGTGTCTTGGACAAGAGGTGGTGCTTGGGAAGTAGTGTCTTGGATGATAGCCTGGGCAGTCGTTGTATCCTGAACAACAGGAGCAGGTTGAGTAGTTGGCTCAGGGTTCTCCTGAACGGCTTCCGTCGACGACTGAGGAACAACGATAGCATCGGTAGTGGTAGGGTTTAGACCAACGGGAATGTCGGTAGACGTGTCAATCACTGGTGGAATGAAAGCTTCAGATGTAGTAGTGGCAGTAGTAGGCGCAACTTCAGGCACCGGGTCTTGAGCAATTGCGCAGAATGGCAGTGCCGCCAGGGCAAAGAATGTGGCACGCATCTTGGCGTAAATGAATGACACAGGAAAAAAAGAACGACTATACCAAACCAGAGTATGAAAGAAACTCCGAGTCTATAGCAAATGAAAGCTGAACGAAAGCGTCCCGCAGAAAGCATTCTATATATCAATTGTTAGTTGGCAAAACTTGGCCGATCGGAATATGCCCTTTCATTGCTGCACAGGGTTGTTGTGATTGGGGTTGCATCGACACAGGTACAGCCCTAATCCCATTTGCAGTAGTGCTGACGCCTGCTATAATTAACGTTCCCCTCAAGCTACCAGTGCGTAACAATTAGTGGCGTTGATTGGTTATAGTACGCAAAACCCCTGGAGCCTGCTGCGCTTAGCAGATCCTTCCGTGTTTCAGAAAAATGTTCCTCAACCTCGAGATAAACGATAAACAAGGAAATGGAGAACAGAAAGCTTATTCTATCGCGTACACAAGTGATTACAATCACCTGATATTTTATTAGCCTACCCATCTCTATCTTGTAGAAGTTATTTTTTTATTTTGTTTCTTAAAAGCAAATCTCGTCTTTATCGCAAGAACTGATAAACAGATGTTTGCATTAGAATCCCATCTCCTGTCTCAATCCGCTAAACAACTGCCGTCTCACCTAAGCCTGGTCCGCAGCCCCCAAATTTTGGGGCCCAAAATGACCAGAGATTACGGAGTACCAGCTGGTGAATCCTACCGGTTAGGGCGGCCCATAAGCTACCCGTCCCATCCCTGCACTACCCTTACCACTTTTAACAGATCAAGGCTGACTCTCGGGCTGCGTAATAACGCAAGATTGCAATCAGCAACTCCTCAATCCTGTCAGCACATTCATGCATGCATGAGCAGGTTTTTAAACAATCGATAAAAGTAGATCCACCTTGCAATTTAAATCCCGATCCTTATGGGGTCCTATGTATCGCTCACTCCTAGCACCTGTTTCATTTCATCGCTCGACCTAAACTTGGCATAGTCTCTGGCGCTCCCGTACTGCCCCTTCAGATCAGGATCTGCGCCCTGGCTCAAAAGCCACTTGACCCTCTCAATAGCACCGGCCATGACTGCATTTACGATCGGGTATTGCGCTGTCATGTGTTGTGTCTCAAGTTTGTCATTTACCCCAGCGCCATTCACTAACAACAGTGCCATAACCGGTATTCTGGACTTGTCAAACTCAGCGCTGGGTTGAACGAGTCCTGCATGGGGAATAGAGCCAGCAGGGCAAGCACCCGCAGCATAGAATAGCCCCAATCCATTGCTGGTCATCTTGGCCCCGCCTTCAAGAAGCTTCTGTACCAATCTAACAGTCCCCTGTGAGGCTGCTAGCCTGAGAGCTTGGTCTAGATCTCCTTCAGGACCGCCAATGTTGGGATCTGCACCATGCTCCAAAAACCAATCAAGAAGTGGTTCGTTGTTTGTCTGAATGAGCCTAGGGAGGAGGCGCTCTGGTGAATTGACTGTCCAGCCGTGTTCAGTAAGGAGCTGAAGTAACGCAATTTGTTGATCTGCTGGGGCTCTGAGAATAGTTTCTGGGGTGTTTCGCGAAATCGGTGTTCCAGACTGGAGAAGATAGCGTACAATTTCGACTTTGCCGTTCTTTATGGCATCAAGCAAGCCATGGTGAAGGAAGAGCGGCGAGCGGGTCTGAGAGGCTACAATTGACTCGAGAGTAGATAAATCACCCTCTCGGCAGGTACACAGAAATTTAACAAAGTCGGGTACATTGACTCCTCGTCCAGTGAGAATATGTATGTCGCTTGCATCAGTTGCAGGAATGTCGTTGTAAGGTTGGCTCATTCCCATCTGCTGGTATCCCTTCTGACTCCCGGCTCCCATTTGCTGTGCAGTTTGTTGCTGCATCGCTGCCTGCTTTTGTGCCATCGCAATTGCATGTATTTGTTGCTGCCGTGTTTTTTGTTGATCTTGTAGCGAAAGCTGACTGGGGATTTGTTCCCCTTGAAACGACATTTTGCTCTGTTTAACCTTTGCCTTTGGAAAATGTAAGATGAACTGGTGCTACCTATAAATAGAAGGAATAACTGTGCTGACGTAATAGCCAGTAAGGAATTATTTTAACTAGTCTATAAAGGGTTAATGCTATAAACTACTGTACTCTCTAGGGTACCTTAAATGTACTTAAAAAAAGATAGTAAATTATAATACAAAATACTTAACTTATTTTAATTCTCTTTTCTAAATATACTATTCTTAGCTAGACTAATTAAGATATAGGATGTTTTCCCTGCCTTACATTAGCCCAGCTCTGTAACCTTAACGAGATAAGCTTTTTACTTATTTTAAGCATAGACAAAAGACTACAAAAATCACACAGATAAATACCTTTTTCCTCCTATACACATGCTACAACGGGATTCTCATTTACATTAGCTAGAAACGGAACTGCAACGTTATGGACTTTATTTTTATACTCCTACAGTTTTATTAGAGTTAATCAAGCCAGTGAGCCAGTAGGTTATCTTTATACTAACAAGAGAAACACCGGTTGGTTCTATTCTGTAATGCGAAAACGAATATGGAAAATAAAGGAGCTGTGGGCAAATACTGTCCCGTTCATTGGGCAATGTAGTGTCTGATTCAACGGGAGATTAAGAGGATAATAACAAAAGAGAGTTCATGGATACTCGTGTGGCAGAAGCAGACAATGATACTTCGCTTACAAGTGCATCAATCTGATCTAGAAGCATACTTTGGAGCCACATAAGCCATTACATTAGGACCTCTCGGACGCACTCCGTTTTAACAGGCCGGCAACGTTGACATGGTTAGGTTTACTACCCGTCTTGGAAGAATCTTAAATTTGAGTTGCCCAATTAGACTGAGTCATTTCTTATCGCCAATCTACGCGACCTTATCTAATCTACTCGCCGCCTTGGACAAATCTAGATCTAGATTGCCAAGACCTTGGTAGTAATGAACCTTGTCCATCTGGTCTCATGACCGCAGACGCCAAGACTGTATAATAGTTTCGAGTAACGTCTTTAAGCATTGTTAAAGAACCTGCTCTATTGGGATATCAAATGCCTCGCACAGTCGCACTTATGTGTCAAGATCCAGCGGTCAGTCAATAGCATCCACAAGCAGGACCACCTCGTGACGTTGTCTAGATCTTTGTGTATTTCTCATTTCGTAATACGAGTCAAGGCTCTACTCAATTGGCCCCCAATACTACAAAGAACCGTCATCACAGAAGAATACTATAGCCAGAGTCGGAAGGTCATCGTGGAAAACAACTCATTCGACCACGGATACGCCTTTTGGCGACCGGTGATTCGGCGACAAAGTTATACCCATATAGAAAAGGGAGAGACTACAGGCCTACGAACGACTGAACGGCTGAACTAAATCTATAAGAAGTGATGTTTTCCCTGTCAAGAAAGACTTTTTCATCATCCCAAAGCATTTCTCTCCTATCTCCCAGCCCTTCATCCTCTCGCTTTCCGATCGTCCAACATGAAGTTCACCAAGCTCAGCCTGGTCACCGCGCCACTCGTCCTCACAGCTTCTGCTGCGGAGCAGAACCTCCACGTGGTCTTGGAGCGCGACCTCGTCAATTCCAAGTCGGCCATCACCGTCTGGAACAACGAGCAGACCGAGATCCTGGGCAAGTCGTGCACCAACTCTCTCACCGATGGTGCTTTTGCCAAGCAGGCCGTATCATTCTCTGTCAGCGAGAACGGCGCTGGCAACGTGACAGTCGGTGACAATACTTACCGCATCGGCGACGGCGACGCTGGCTCCATTCCCTGCGGTCGAATTTCTGCTGAGGACGAGCTCGTTGTTAACTGCGTCGTGCCTGTCAAGGGACTTGGTGCGGACCTCAAGCCTCTTGCCAAGAGGTCCTTACGAGAGTGCTTCCCTGATGGGTCTCTCGGAGTCGCCAAAGCCATGGACGTCTTCGAGGGCAAGGTCGACGGAGAGATACCTTCTGACGTACTGAGCCAAGTCCCCGAGCTGTCTCAGAAAGAGATTGACGATGCTGTCAAGGCGGCCGGCCTCTCTAAGCGCCAGACGGGCTGTGGTAATTGGGTTACCCAAACCCGCCCGGTCGGCAACGGCAATCCCCACCAGAATCCATTGCATATCCAGCTCAGTGTAGGTCTCACAGTGTCTTGTCGTTCTGTTTCAAAATTCCATACTGACAAATTATATAGGAAGCCATGGAGTGCCCCGCAAACAATCAATGCGTTGCAGGTAGATTCGAGTCGCGGTCCTTTTCGATTGGCTGGAGCGCCAACGCCGCTGTCTCATGGATCAGTGCCGGTTTCAGCGTTGTCCAGACTATTGACACTGGTAACAATTACGAGTGTTGGGGTAACCCACGAGACTGGTTCGCCGTTTGGAAGAAGCAGGCCCAGACGGCCTATACTGTCCAACAGGGTATCTACAACTCGTGTACCAGTTCATGGCAGCCTGTCGGCGGGCACATCATCATCTGGTCACCCAATGCACAGAACAGGCGGGGAAACTATTACTGCGTGTTTGGACGCCAGTATGTTCGCGCTATTGGTGACAGGTGGCTGGATACCTCGGCCGGTGAGCCTGGCGGTCCCTAGACGGTTAGTACTACTACTTAGCGGAGATGAACATTGGGGTGCCTGATGTCATCCGAGGAGGAATTTTATGTAAATAAATTGATGGATGGCTACTATTGCTCATGGGTCTCTGAGTCCTTAATGCACGTGGACCTGAATCCTTGTTCGAGGCTGGTCGGTTTGTCAAACAACCACTGTCTGACATGATATATTCGTTTTATCACATCGAGAGTCCTTAGTGCTAGAGGAACCTTGATCGTCATGCAAATGGGGCCCCGCCACTTGGTGTTGCCGACTCGCCTGGCTCGTAGGTGACTTTGAACTGCTTTCCATAGGATGTCACACAGTACGAATGGTCCCCGGTGATGTTTGGACAGGGAGCGAATTTCGTGTTCTGACAAAAACTCCCCCTCACGTAGAGCCCCCATAAGAGTACGTTCCAGGCAATCGCGACTAACCAGAGCGCAAAGAAGCCGGTTTCCTGTTCTACGCATCCTCGTGCTGGCAATATTCCGCTCAGTGAGATCTGACACGTTACTCCCGGTTTCAGCGGCTGCCCCAGGAAATTGCATCGTAATGCCTATATAGAACTATTTTAGTATCTTTAAATAGGCACAGTTAAAGAGATTCGGATTTCATTTAGTACACAGCCTTTTGTCTTCACAAACATAGCATAAGCTTTTCATAATATTACTGTAGTAGAAGTACGTATCTCAAAAAGGGTTCAACATTAGCGAGATAAGATAAACAAAACCCAAAGAGCCTCAAGTCTTGTGTAACAAATTGTCGGAGCTCTTACACCCCCATAATACCTACACCTGAAGTTTCCTTTGCCGTACTGCTCTCGTGGCCCGAACATACAGAGTCCTCCGGCTGTATACCCAAAGTTGGAAATTCCACAACATTGTCACCTTCCAGATATCCCTCATTATCTGCCAAATGCTCAAAGGCAAGGCCGAAAGTTGCCTGACCGTGTGGCAAGACTTCAGCTGGGATGACAAAGTTCACAGCATAGTAGAATACTGCGGCTGCAGAAAAGCAGATAACCCAACCTGTCTGGTATATGTGAGTCGCAGCCATAGAGACCCAGGTTGGATGATAAGCTCCGATAAGCCCTGGGATACCGAATACTGCTGAGCAAACCCAACATCCGAGTGCCTTCAAATTCCAACCGCCAGTGTAAAAGTACAGTGAGCTTTTGGACGGGTTAAATAGCGACGGAGTATGGATATTCCCACGTTTGACGAAGAAGTAGTCGACAATAATGATCTGAGTATGTTAGTTTCTTGAGACCCTGGAGTGTCGAGGCGGAAGAAAGCTTACGGCACAGATAGGGGAAATGAAACAATTGTAACTGCCGAGAAATATCAAGAAGGCCGATCCAGAGGCTATAGAAAAGGTGGATTTGTCAACGTCTGATATGAGCATTCAAGGGATTTAGAGGCTTACTCAGGAGCTTCCACGGCACAATGGCGAGGGATAAGATTCCGCAACAAATCTGCCCCCGGACAATTGTAAACACTTTTGGTACCAGACCGGTGACATCGGCTCCTGAAGTATGTGTTAGAATTCTCAAGTATCATCCTAGGGAAGTCCAATCTCACCAAAGGGAATAGCGTTACAGCCAATGTTCACGCCCAATACCGACAACGCAAAGCCGAACGAGGCAAAGAAGCATCCAGCTCGAGCTGCTGGACTCCAAAATCGATCAAGGATTGCGTTGAGAAGATCCCACTGGTTCCAGTATGCGTTGCCGAACTTCCCTTGCACTGCAGCTGTAGCACCAATACCAAAAAAGAAAATCAGCGTCTTGCTGAGGAAGATGGACGATGATTGCCTCCAGCCAGCATCCTTGGGCCTGCGTGTGTACCGAGTAAGGTCGGGTTGCTGCATTGTTTGTTAGTTAACCTCCAGAGCTCTCAAAGATGTTAATGGATCCATTCGAACTCACATTGACTAGCAGCGCAGACGTAACGCCCAAGCAGCTGTTTATTCCGTTAAGCATTGCCCATCCGAGGGCTCCTCCCTTTACTTCCGTGGTTGAGGAAAGAGAATTCATACGAATTCCTCCTCCATAATGAACACACCAGGAGAAGACACCGATACAGGCTAGAGGGCAGATTATGGACTCGGCCTAGAATTTGTTAGGCGCAACACGAGAGGAAAGGTCTAACATAGTGTACGAACCGCGAACAAAAACTTGATCTTGCGTGGGTGGACTGCCAAGAAGGGCATCTCAATGATCCAGAACAAGAAGAAGGCCAGAAGATCCCTAGACGTGATGCCAGCGCTGGCAGGCAAGTGGTTTGTCATGTTCCACCAGGATTCTCCAAAGACGCATCTCAGGAGGACGCTGAATAGCTGGGACCCGAAGTATGACTGGACTCCAAACCTGCAATGTCGTCAGTATTGAGCATCCTTTCTCTTAGCTCAGTTGTTGAGGGTCTATCTTACCAAATAGTAGCCACCACGGCTCGGATCCAAACGAAAAAGAACTGGCCATACCTACACTTTTCGTTAGTAATCCTATCATGTGAGGTCTCAATTCGAAGGAATTATAATGACTGACATTCCGAAGACACTTCGAGCTAGGACGGGGTAGCCAACATGGTACCTTGCACCTGGACGGCCGAGGGCAAGAGCAACAGAAGATGAAATCAAGTTGGCCTAGTTAGAGGTTAGCTATTATTCTTTGGTTATGGTGTTATGAGTCTTACTATGATGCACGCAATCAGAGCTTGATGCCAGTTAAGGCCGACAGCGATCAAACTCGCGCCGTTTGACCATTGACTTGCGTTGAACGCGTTCTAGACGGTCGCGCAGAAAATTAGCGATATGAATCAACAATATGGCACGAATGGATGCTGGCTTACACCCCACCAATAACTGCTGAGTGAGATCCTGGCTCAAATATTAGCGAATTGTACAAAGCTCTCGTCTTCAACATGACACGTACCAGGACCATGTCCTTGCATTCGGCGGAGTAGGCGCGAGATCCTTGTTAATCCAAGGCGAAGACTTGGTTCCATCCGCAGAGTTTGTAGTCAGCACTGCCTCCCACTCAGCCTTCGAACGGGGAACTGTTGGCATCTTCATAATGGATCAGACGAGAGGTGATTGATTCGGTAGCCACTTGTCGCTTGTGGGATTCTTTTCAGCTGAGTGAGGTGCATGCTGCAACTTATACAAGTCTAAGGGTATGTGGCTTGTGATTCAACATATCAGCAAGGCCAGACTAAGTTGAGTATCACCAGTGTTGCGGTAGATTGGATGATTTGTGCAACTCGCTATCTGTCGGAACGGCCATATCGCTATCAGCAGAGACCAGCGCTAGGCACTACGGATTATCTCTCAAGATAGCGATATGACGGATTGACCCGAGACGCTAAGGATGCTGTAGCTCGAATGCGGACCATTCCGAAGCAGTTATCTTCAGCCAGTCATAAAAACAAGGGTAATTAATACAACAATTCTTTAGTTCTTGACTACTCTCATCTGTGCATACGGATCATCCAGCTGGACTTGAGCTCCTTTCCGCTTTGCGAATGTCAAGCTTCCTATCATCAATTATCGCCATACTCCTTTCGCAAACATCTAGGGTTTAATTCACCAAAGGCGCACAGAAATTATGCAAGAATTTGATACCATCCTGCGCAATGCCCATGTCAATGGCTCCTTCATTTGCGATATAGGCATCAAACGAGGGGTTATTGTCGCCCTGGGCGTGGGCCTCGTTGCAACCGAAGACACGCAAACCATTGACTGCAATGGAGCCATTGTGACTCCAGGCGGGGTTGATGGCCATGTCCACCTGTCTCAGGATCGTTCGCCCAGAGCTAAAGAAGCAGGCTATACTAGTGCCGATACAGGTACACATGTTCTCTTCCTCCTCGTATGTTGTACTTTCCACTAACTCCGACATGCAGTCGACACTGGGACTCGGAGTGCAATTGCCGGAGGCACGACGACAGTCATCCTATTTGCAGAGCAATCTCGGGGCCAGTCCTTGAAAGAGCAAGTTGGCAAATACCATCAACTCGTCAACGAGCAAGGCTCATATGCCGACTACGGGTTCCATGCCATCATCACCGATCCCACTGCACAAGTGCTAGAACAAGAACTTCCAGAGCTTGCGCAGTCTGGTATAATGAGCATGAAGCTATTCCTTACATACAAGCACATGAGGATTTCAGACCGTCAGGTACTCTCAGCACTACAGAAGGCACGGGAGCTAGGAATGGTGGCACTAGTGCACGCAGAGAATGGGGATCTTGTGGATTTCTTCACTGAGCATTTAGAGGCCCAAGGACTTACGGACCCGAGGTTCAAGGCGATAGCACATCCTCCAGAGGCTGAGGCCGAGGCCGTCAATCGCGCCATTACATTTTCCTCTGTCATGGATACACCGATGCTCATCGTACATGTCTCTGTTCGACAATCGATGGATGTTATTCGCAAGGCCCAATCATTATTGAGGCCAGTATTTGCCGAGACATGTCCTCAGTACCTATTATTAGGTAAAGAGAATCTCGACAGGGATCATTTCTGTGGTGCCAAGTTCGTCTGTTCGCCCCCTTTGCGCAGTGACCCAAAGGATATTGAGGAAATATGGAGAGGAATCATCAACGGTACATTTACTATATTCTCATCAGACCACTGCCCATATCGGTAAGAAAGCACCTGCTATCTATCGCGCCTTGTAGGGAGACATAACTCACATCAACTAAGGTTCAATGACAACAGGGGGAAGAAGTTGGGTCATTCATACAACAAAAGTGGCGAGGTTCAAGGAGTGTAAGTTCTGAGTGAGAAACATGTACCTGGTTAGGGCTGACCATCATTCAGCTTTACAAAAATACCCAATGGTCTTCCTGGAGTTGAGACCCGGATACCCTTGCTCTTCTCTGAAGGTGTCCTCAAGCGTCGGTGCATTGATGTAAAGAGGTTTGTCGAACTCACGTCTGAGAACCCAGCGAAATTGTATGGCCTCTATCCTCGCAAGGGTGCAATACAAATCGGATCAGACGCCGATATCGTCATATGGCACGCACAGGATACGTTCTCGCCAAGAAGGTTGGAACACAATCTACACCTGCATGATGGTTGTGACTACTCGCCATATGAAGGCATTGAGTTTTTGAACTGGCCTCGAATCGTTCTTGTGCGGGGAAGGGTGGTCTTTCAGGATGGCATCGTGACAGGCACCAAGGGTTATGGTCAGTTCTTGAAAAGGAAAACATGTGGACTGACCTATCAACGCCGAATGAACAAGGAATGGGATGTGCTGCGTGCCTCTATATGAGCGGTATGGTAGGCAATGGAGTTGGGGGTATGACTTAGACTCATAGGCTCGTTACCAAAAAGGAATGTGGAAAATACATTGTCATCGATTCAAACTTATGCTAGTAAACACCAGGCTCTACCGCTATTTTGTTCCCTACTGAAACTATCTATATGTCGTGGAGGACCGGTTTCGTTTCGATGTTGAATAATGAACCCCATTCACTAGCAAGGCCTGACGTTGCCATACCGAGTTGTCGAAGCATGCCGAACAGTACAGTTGCAACCGAGTCTAGAACCATGACAGAATATTTCCTTTCCCAGAATATCGCTCTTTGTGCAGCCGCAAGGTTGGTACACATTATGAGAATGACCCGAGCCCCGTTTTGGACAACCTGTGCAACCATTACGTCCAAGTCTGTCTCTTGAACAGCGGCAAAATCAAAGTTTGACGTCAAGCCGGAGCATTGAGATCTTGTTTCTGCTATAGAGAGCCCTTCTGTTGCAAAGTTCTCGAGAATTGCAGCATTAACCTCTGTTATATATGGTGTCACGAGACCGATTTCTGGAGCCACGCTGCAAAGTAAGATATCCCTCATCGCCAACACCGATGATGTTGCTGGAATCCCGGTAGTATTTTCAATCATCTGACATAAAGTCTCATCTGACGAAAACCCCAGCCAGGCTGCGGATGTGCCGCTCCAGCCAATAATGTTGACTTTTGCATCAGCCAAGAGCCCCGCTGCCTCGAGCATTGACTCCAGGGTAAATTGAGAGTTTGAATCGTCGGATAGTTCGATCTTGGTGACCCGGAATCTGGCAAAATGAAGGCTAACTTCTATTGCATTGTGTGCAAGACTGAGGACCATCTGCTGCGTCAACGGTTCCAATGTTGTATTCGATGAGGGTACAATAATTCCGAAGCGAGCTCTGCGTGGAATTTGGGTTGAGTGAGAGTCCATAATTGACGTGCACGATTTGGTATGGGGCCGATGCTACTGATGGCGTTATTATCAGAGGCGTACCTTTATTGACGGAAGTATGTCATGGGACTGGCACTGTACCATACGCAAATAAATATGCTATGATTAATCTGTAGAGGAAATGTGATTACGAACAGGCGTCGTGATTCGGAATGGTCCGGTATCAAAGATAACAGATAACACTAAATCACCGATAAGACTTGCCAGCCCGCATTCGGCTAGCCTGAGAATCGGGCCACTCCGATGCCAATAACAACGAGACATCCCATAACTCGGATCAAATCCGTATCTCTACAACCTGTCCAAGTTGTCGCTCTGATCCGATTGCATCATGGAACAAGAGAATACGACCGAACACGAACGCCCTGCAAAACGACCTCGGGTCTTGGTCGCATGTCAGAGATGCAAGAGCCGACGACAAAAGGTAGAATAAACATCAACTCCACGATCGCGATCCATCCCCATGCTAACTGAGACAAAACTAGTGCGACAACTCAAGCCCAGCCTGCTCAAATTGTGACAAGGCAAAGGTATCGTGCATATACAGCAACCAAGCCTACCCATCGTCCTATGTCAAGAGGCTGGAAGACCGAGTTCGCGAACTGGAGGCAAATCTCGCGATGGACGATACTGCTCCAACCCACGTTCCCAGCACTGGGATTCCCCGTTCAAGGTCAACAAGAGATCTGCCAACCATCGCTCAGTCAGAGAGCCCTGTGCCAAGCCGTTCACCAGAAACAACTGAGGTGACCTCTGGAACAGAGCGTTCCGGTCAACTTGCGCTAGGTTTGGGGGTCCTATCCTCGTGCGCAGGGGCTGAACCTCATTACTTTGGCTTCTCAGCTGGTCTAAGCCTTGCGCATTTCGTCCAGGTTGCCATCGACTCAGGGGAAAATCCCGTGGACGTGTCTCTACCTCAGCTCGCAGACAGACCCTTCTCTCACCAATTGCCAAAAGACAACATCACACTGGCCGAACCTCCCAAATATAATGCAGGAGCGAGCTATATACGGGCTTACCTGGCATTGGTGCATCCCCTGTATCCATTCTTGAACGTGGAAAGGCTATGGCAATTGCATCGTTCTATCACCAAAAGACGAGGTGGTCAAGAATCTGCTTGTACCGAACAGATTGATTTGACAATAATGCATTTGGTATACGCCATTGGGTCCAGGTGCCTTCAACTACTTCAAAAGTCTAGCATTTCGAGTACAGTTTCCGAGGGACATTTTCTTCGAGCCATGGAGCATATTCGTCAGGACCTCAAGTTTACGAGCACCAAGTCTATCGAAGTGACGTTACTTCTGGCCATCCATTCGATGCGCTCTCCTTACGGTAAGCGAATCCTTACGAAAGTTCCTTTTATTCCTGCGTCCGCTCGCTGACGAAGTCACGCCAACCAAAGGTACCAGTGTATGGCATCTTGCCGGCCTGGCTATCCGTCAATGTCTCGAACTTGGACTCCATAAACAACGCCTCGTGGATCGTCAAAATATAGAAGTAGACCACCACCGCAAGAGACTGTTTTGGAGTGCCTATATCTTCGAGAGGAAAACAGCTCTAGTTCTAGGCCGGCCATTTGCTCTCTCCGACGAAGAAATTGATCTTTCTCTGCCGGCGGATATGGACGATGGTAATCATGCCACCACTCCAGATGAAATGCAGCAACACATCCTGGAACATAGATCACAGTATCAAACGGCCCTAAGTTTTCACCGGCAACATATACAACTTTACCAAATCCACAGCGAGATTCGCCTGGCCTTGTCACGAATGAAAAAAAGCCCATCAAAGGAGGGACTGCGTATGACAACGTCCAAATTGCTCCAACAACTGGACCAGTGGAAAAAGCAAGTTCTAACGACGTTCCGTGAAGACGCTTCCGAGGGGCCTAGTGACTCGACAAGGCTTACAGACTACTTTCGAGAACACGATAATGGTGATAGCGAGGAGTCATCGTCTTCAGAAACTTCCCAACACCAAGTGCTTCTCAAAAGGCCTGTCGAGATGGAAAAGAACGAGCTACTACTAGAATACCACAAAGCCCGAAGGTCCTTGCTTCAACCGTTAATGACTGAAAATTGTCACAATTACCCATTTGAGACAGCAGACTACGCGGCATGCGCCGAGTCATCTGGGCAAATATGCCGACTTTACAGGCGCCTCCATCGTCTCTCGCCGATTCCATTCTCACTAAGAGATCTACACGCCGTTTTTCTTGCCGGTTTCACGTTAATTTACTGCATCCGTCTTTGTCCCTCTATACATTCGGTGGAGCGCATCGGCGATGTCGGGGCCTGTTCCACAGTATTATATGTCATCACAGAACAGTGGCCAAGTGCAAAGAAGTACCGTGACGCTTTCGAGACAATTTCGGAGAAAATGCTAGACGCCGTGAAAGGACAGCACCTTGGAAATCACAGTAACGGAGGCTTGTCAAGCCGAGAGACACATTGCACGACAGCGATTAACAGACCGAGACCAATACAATCGCGCATGCCACATGTACTTGACGGGGATGTCTATATGACATCAAACTATGTAGAAAGGAATGAATCCCGGGCTAGAAGAGAGTCTTTAGAGCGTTGTGAGACTCGGAGACGTGCCTCTGATGAAATACCTGCGCAGTCCTCGTTGGAGTTCACGCAGCCAACGTACTTACTCCTCGAGGCGGACCGGTTTACCGATACTACAGATTCTGTCTCTCAGTTCCGTCAAAACATAGACTTGGACTTGGATCATGAAATCTCTGATATTGAGAAACTTCTCTCGAGCGAGGGACTGGAGTGGTTTACTGGGGCCGTTCTATAGAGACGGGCAAGTCGATTTTATTGTCACCTATTATAATGCCAGATTGTTCAGCCAAGCTTCCGATAATTTTAAATAATAAAAGTGCACTGCTAAACCAAATAGTATATTAACAAGTCCTACCGATAAGAACTAAACTAGACTCAAGACGGTAGCAATCTACAATCACTTCTACCCTCCGATAAGCCATTTCCCCCTCATATATCTTTCGCACTCAACCGTCGGAACCATCCGCATTATCTCGACTGCCCCGCCAATGCGGGGTCACAGTAAGTTGAGGCAGTTAAGTCGTTTGACACAGACAGAAAATATGAATATTTATTACAGTAGCTGTCCCAGTGCTCAAGACTGCGAGCCCAAACCAAATAACCGCCTTCTCATTACTGTTACTCCGCGCAAAACACTTACGACTGCAAATTCATATCAAAATCATCATGGAAGCATTTGATCTCGTTATCACCAATGGCGTATGTGTTACCGCTGCAGATATAGGTGCTTACGATGTTGCCATTAAAGAGGGTAAAATCGCCTTGCTTGCTCCATCGGGATCACTTGTTGGGACAAATGCGTTGCGGATAATTGACGCCGAGGGCGCATACGTGACAGTAGGTCTCATTTCTACAGCTGGATAAAGCCAACGCTCACACGACAATGGATATAGCCTGGTGGCGTTGATTGCCATGTTCATCTTCAAGAACCTGCCATGTTTGGGAAGGGTTCCTCATCTGATACATTTGAAACAGGTAAGCCATGTAACACATTAGAGGACCTTATTTATGAAGAAACCGCATTTTGACACGAACCAAGGAACCCGATCGGCAATTGCTGGAGGCTGTACCACCATTGTTTGCTTCGCTCCCCAACAGAGACACGAGCCCTCACTTCTAAAGCCTTTGGCTGACGCCCACGAGAAGGCTCGAGGGAACACCTACTGCGACTACGGATTCCATCTGCTTGTCTCCAATCCCACTGAGACGGCTCTCTCCGAGCTTGGAATGCTCAAGGTCGAGGGCGTCACATCCCTCAAGATCTATATGACCTATGAGGCGCTCCAGCTCCGTGACGATCAAATCTTATCGGTTCTTCACCATGCTCGTAGCAACCATATTCTCACTATGATCCATGCGGAGAATGGTGATATTCTGAACTGGCTGACAGATCAACTTGAAGCTAGCAAACTCTTTGCGCCAAAATATCATGCAACATCGCGTCCGCCTGCCCTTGAAGCGGAAGCAACCAACCGTGCCATCGTGCTATCCTCTATCATTGCTAATACGCCTATCTTGCTAGTGCATATTAGCGACCCAGATGCAACATATCGCATTCGGCAAGCCCAGACAGCTGGCCAGCCTATCTTTGCTGAGACTTGCCCGCAGTACCTCTTTCTTACGCGCAACGATCTAGATGCGCCAGGCTTCGAGGGTGCCAAGTTCGTGTGCTCACCACCCCCACGCGATGAAGCATCACAGGATGTTATTTGGGAGGGCCTACGGAATGGAACATTTACTGTTCTGAGCTCAGATCATTGTCCTTTCTCCTATGATGATACAGAGAAGGGCAAGAAGGCTTGCATTACGCATGAGCATCCTGTCGGAAAGTTCAGGCACATTCCCAACGGAATTCCTGGGGTAGAAACGAGACTCCCTCTTGTGTTTTCTGCCAATAAGCTGCCCCTAACCAAATTCGTGGAGGTGACATCAACAAATGCGGCAAAGCTGTATGGGCTATATCCGAAGAAGGGAGCAATGATACCTGGCGTGTCAGATGCGGATCTCGTGATTTGGTATCCGAATGACAAGTTGCCTAACGTGACCATTCGAAACGAAGCATTGCACCACGCAAATGACTATACACCGTACGAAGGCAAGACAGTGGAGAACTGGCCAAGATATACAATCTTGCGCGGTATGGTTGTATGGGATAACGGAGAGATAGTAGGTAAGAAGGGATATGGCGAGTTTGTGCAGCGACAGGCTGGTGTATTGAATGATATTTGGAAGTTTGTGGGAAAGCAGGAATTATTGTATTCATACTAGTCGCGATAAATATGTTATGTTGCTTTCAGAAGTGACAGTTTCTGACAGCAAGAGACTTTATATGTAATATGCAAAGACTTAGCATTTATTATAACCTCGAGAATAAAAAGTTATACTAGAAAGACTAAACACTGTATATCAAACTTCAATTGCTCGTCTCCTGGGCCAATTGAAACTGGCTCACAAATCTTCTCTCAGAAGCATTCTTTTCTTGATGCACAGCGTTGGCCAGCTGGATGTCCCCCCAAGCTCCGCCCCCAGGTGTATCAATAACGAACCGGTCGCCCTTCTCAACCTTGAAGTCCTTGCGACCGCCGACTCGACACCATCGGCCGCTTTCGCCGCCCTTGACAATATAGTTCACGCCCGACTTTCCATCTTCACCACCATTCATGCCATACGGCCTGGTCACGCGCCTCTCTATGGGATAACTGCGGCCTATAAGGTTAAGCTTTAGGCTGTAAACACAGACAATGAATAATAATATAATATCTTTTTTTTAATATAAGCTTTCCTAATATAAGCTTTTACCTATAAGCTTTTATAATAACTAATAAATCTTATTATAAGCCCTAGGGCATTATAAAAGGAAAAGACTAAAAGGTATATAAAAGGATATAACCTTAAGTTTATATCTCTATATATATACTATAATATAACTTTATAAATAATATATTAATAGTAAATTAAACTATTATTAGTAGTAACTTAATAAGCTAAGAGGCTTAAAATTATATTTATAATTTCCCTATTAACTTTAGTACCCTTAAAGGCATTACTTAATAGTATATTATAATATAAATTAGTTTAAAAGATAAGGCCTTTATTAAGGCTAATTTTTAATTTATT